CCCTAGCCCATGGCAACCAGCATTCTACTTTATCGTTTCTATGAATGTGACTACTCTAGGTCCTCACACAAATAAGATAATACAGTATTTGTCTTTCTTGTGGCTCATTTATTTCACTTAGCATAATGTCCTCAAGGTTCATCCATATGTAGCATGTAAGAATTTCCTTCCTTTTTAAGGCTGAATGATTGATATTCCATTTTATGTATCTACCACATTTTGCTTATCCATTCATCCATCTATGGACACCTGGGATGCTTCTACTTCTTGGCTATTGTGAATAATGCTTCTATGAATGTAGGTGTACAAATATCTCTTAGAGACTCTGATTTCAGAAGGTTTATTTATATATACCCAGTAGTTGAATTGCTACATCATATGGTCATTCTATTTATTTATTTATTTGAGACAGAGTCTCACTATGTCACCCTTGGTAGAGTGCCATGATGTCACAGCTCACAGCAACCTCAAACTCTTTGGCTTAGGTGATTCTCTTGCCTCAGCTTCCCAAGCCAGGACTATAGGCACCTGCCACAATGCCCAGCTAATTTTTGTTGTAGTTGTTCAGCTGGCCTGTGGCTGGTGCCATAACCACTGTGCTACAGGCACCGAGCCTGGTCATTCCATTTAAAAATATCTGAGGAACCACCAACTATTTTCCATAGCAGCTGCACCATTTCATAGTCTCATCAACAGTACAAAAGCCATTCCAATTTCTTCTAACATGAGTCATTTCTAGAATTAAGAAAAAAAAACTTTTGTTTTTAAACAATCTCACTTTGTTGCCCTCAGTTGAGTTCTGTGATATCACAGCTCACAGCAACCACAAACTCTTGGGCTCAAATGATTCTCTTGCCTCAGCCTCCCAAGTAGCTGGGACTACAGGTGCCCGCCACAATGTCCGCCTATTTTTTTTTTTTTTTTTTTTTTTAGAGACAAGGTCTTGTTCTGGCTCAAGCTGGTATTGAATCCATGAGCTCAGACAATCCACATGCCTCAGCCTCCCAAGTGCTAAAACTACAGGCATGAGCCACTACATCTGGCCAAAATTTTTTTTTAATCATTGTCATTCTAGGGCGGCACCTGTGGCTCAGTGAGTAGGGTGCCGGCCCCATATACCAAGGGTGGCAGGTTCAAACCTGGCCCCAGCCAAACTGCAACCAAAAAAAAAAAAAATAGCTGGGCATTGTGGTGGGTACCTGTAATCCCAGCTACTCGGGAGGCTGAGGCAAGAGAATCGCCTAAGCCCAGGAGTGGGAAGTTGCTGTGAGCTGTGACGCCATAGCACTTTACCAAGGGCAATAAAGTGAGACTCTGTCTCTAAAAACAAACAAACAAAAAGACAACAAAAACATAATTGTCATTCTAATGGGTATAGGGTGGTATCTCATTGTGGTTTTCTTGAGAGTGTTGCAGTCTTCTGTGCAGATGCCAAGTTACTAAGTAACTCTAGGTAGCATCACTAAAAATTGATAGCATTATGAGCCTATTAAATTTAAAATGCTGTAGGAGGCATTGTTTTAACACACAGTTCCTGCTCTCAAGGATTTTATAATCTATCTGGAAAGCAAAAACATGTATATTTAAAAATAAGTAAACATGCAAAACAGCAAAGTTCAAATGCTCACAGTGATATTACACGATGACAGAGAAAGGTAAAATTATAATATGCTGGATTAATTAGCAAAGGCTGTAACTGATACTTGAGGATTGACTCATAATGACCAAATTCATAAGAGACTGGTACAAATTATAATTCTAATTTCCTAATATACATTCAATTGCTAATTCATCAAATACTTATAAAGAATCTACTTTTTGTTAGACACTGTTCCTATGAACTAGGAACAAAGCTGTGATCAACAATTTCCTGTCTTCACAGAGTTACAGTCTCTGTGGCATATAATATAAAGAAGAATGAATGTATTTTTTCAGTGACTAAAATATTTGTGTTTGCTGTCTATAGCATTTCCTTTTCAGGGTAAAAGTACCAAGAAATCTAAACTGGTAATCAAAATATTGTTTGGTGAATGATCAGAAAAAAATAGTATTAAGATCTATTTCATCTGGCTTGGTGCCTGTAGCTCAAGTGGCTAAAGCGCCAGCCACATACACCAGAGCTGGTATGTTCGAATCTGGCCTGGGCCTGCCAAACAATGACAACTACAACCAAAAAATAGGTGGGTGCCTGTAGTCCCTACTCAGGAGGCTGAGGCAAGAGAATCGCTTAAGCCCAGAGTTGGAGGTTGCTGTTAGCTCTGATGCCACAGGACTCTACCAAGGACAACAAGTGAGACTTTGTCTCAAAAAAAAAAAAAAGATCCATTTCATTAAGGCCACATAGAAAGGTTATACATAGTATAGACAATATGCTCTCGAGTAGCAGTCCCAGCCTTTTTTGGAAGACAATTTTTCCATTATCTTTGTGGGGGTGAGGGGAGGAGAAAAGGGACAGGAGGTAGAGCTCAGGTGGTGATGCCAGTAAGGGGGAGCAGATACAAATATAAAGCTTCACCAGTTCACCCATCCCACCATTCATCTTCTTCCATGAAGCCTATTTCTTTCTTTCTTTCTTTTTTTTTTTGAGACAAAGTTTCACTTTGTCACCCTAGGTAGAGTGCCTTGGCATCATAGCTCACAGCAACCACAAACTCCTGGGCTTAAGCTTTTCACTTGCCTCAGCCTCCCAAGTAGCTGGAACTACAGATGCCTGCCACAACACCCAGTTATTTTTTTAGAGACGGGGTCTTGCTCTTGCTCAGGCTGGTCTTGAAGCCCGTTTCTTACCAGATTACAGATAAGGGGTTGGGGACCTCAGCTCTAGAATAAGTTTACGTCTATAATGACTAGCTTAACAGTGTTCTTTGGATTCATGATTTTTCTATCTTGAATACTGCTGGATAGAAAAAGAGATCCTGGCTTATTCCTCTCTTTCTGGGTTCCAGGTGAACCATTTCAAATCTAAAATACTGGCTCGGTGCCTGTGGCTCAAGCGGCTAAGGCGCCAGCCACATATACCTAAGGTGGCGGGTTCGAATCTCCAGCCCAGGCCCGCCAAACAACAATGATGGCTGCAACCAAAAAATGGCCAGGTGTTGTGGCGGGCGCCTGTAGTCCCAGCTACTTGGGAGGCTGAGGCAGGAGAC